CCCTCTTCATCCAGTAAAGGGGGGAGAATGCTGGAAGCTGACAGAGTTACAACTACTGCAGTGAAATCTGCAAAAATCTTAAGTTCTATACATCTTGTTTGCAAGTTATTTACAATTTTAGAATAATTAGTGTACATCATATTGGCTTTTCACGCTTGGACAAATAATTCTTTACTTGATAATTTGAGCAATCTTTTAGTCTTGCAGGAAATAGAGACTGCAGTATGTCAAAACGGCATTAGGTCAGTGTTATGGACAGGAAGGTATTACAGACAATAATTGTCCTCAGATAAATTCTTCTTTTGTAGGGACAGGTCTAACACATATATGTATTTGCTTGATATTCTTTGTCACTGTAATAATTATTTGTTGCAATATATTACTGGATTATTGTAAGCGTAAGAAAGTGGGCTTATCATTTATTCTTTGTACATCTGTATAGTATGTGCTTTATATCTGCACACAGTACCTGTGCTTGCACATTTAAGCAATTGGTTTTTGGATGCTTTGTATAACAGGGCCACAAAGCACAAAAGGATTGTTAATCATCAGATGAGGTACTGGCCATGGAGTATTTATCTTGTAAGCAGCTGGGCCTTGGTGGATGCTTGTATTGTTTCAGATTTGTCTCCCCTCATCTGGAGCATTCTCTTCATTTGTTACTCATCTGCAGGTGCTGTGATAGTTTGCAACAGCTGCGACCATAGCTTCTTCAACATTCTTGACCAATGTAGAGGGAAAAATAGGGGTTTATATTCTAGCTTGAAGATCAGTCACTAAAAGTACATGGGTTTGGTTTTTTGGTAGTGGATTGTTTTTCTCGCTTCACGTTTAATCGTAATTTAGTACTGTTAAGAAATAAGGAAGTTGCAAAATGTTTCCAGAGCAGTTGAGATTTCCCTGCTGCAGCTTCGTTACTTGTGATTGTAGAGACGTTGATATGTTGGCACTGCTTTTTCCTATAGTGACATCTCAGCAAGCTCAAAGATGAAATGTAAATTCTCAGTCTCCCATGAGTATGCATGTCAGAGTCAATTTTGAGTTTCTTTCCTTGCATTCCTTGCCTCGGATTTGCTCAGAGGCAGTATCCAACAGGAAGAATTTCTAATGTCACCTTCTATTAAAATGCAATGGAGTCTATTCCAGTTATTATTTTTGCTCTGTGGTTTGGGGAAAACTGTTAGTATTTTTTGATTTTGAAAAAATCTGTTTCTCCAGCAACAGGATTCTTAATATTGTCAGAATGTATGTTTGTGTCCATCTATATGCACTGATGTGTGTTAATATACACAATTCCATATATATCTATGAAAGCTTTCCTGTGGGAATCTTTAGAGGAATAGTTATGGAGCTCTCTTGGAAATATATTCAGTGGCAATCTTGCTACTTCTCTGTATAAGATATTAAACACAACTGTCAATCTGTTGGTGCAGTTTGAGAGCACAGATATTTTGCTCTCTTGATTGCCAGCTCTCCACAGAATTGGTTAGCTCTCCTCCTTGCACTTCTCCCGCGTGTTCACAGTTGCCTAAATCTAGAGTTAGAATTTGTCACAGTATTTTGTCACTGCAGTTAGCAGGGAAGTATCTGCGTACATCACAGTGACATTGTGAGGTATCATCCCAGGTTGACTAACAGAGAACTCATTTCATGTATTCTCATGTAGTTCTTGCCATTTTGTTCTAAGGTTGTTAGTCATAACAAATTGTTAGCAGGGTTCCTCTTCACTGTCCAGTGCAGCTAGACTTGGAGAATTTTAACTGCAACCTGTAGGTATGAAGTCTGCTGTTACTTCAGTGAGCTGATGGTGAGTAACTTTATTGGAATGCTGTTGTCCTTTATGCGTGGTTATTTTACCTGTACTGCCTCATCTCTAACATAAATGTGTTTACTTTAAAGGGAAGCTATTATACTTTGTTTCTGTCAACATTTTTTTGTTTGCAGCTCAAGAAGTTCATAAGAACTCCAGAGATCCCTTCAAAGCATGTGAGAAACTGGGTCCCCAAGGTCCTGGAGCAGCGACGGCAAGGCTTGGAGTTGTACTTGCAGGTGAGTCTTTTCTCAGCACTGTAAAAGCAGCATTCATTTTCAGAGTCACAGTATCCAAAGCATTTGAAGGTGTGAAGTGGGGTGTTTTACTGATACACAATTTTAGAGGTGGGAGATGAGCTGCATACTTAGCAGTGGTGATGATTTCTGTTCACTTAGCAAGACTAGCAGCTAGAAATCCAGGCTGTTCTGGATTTTTTCGTGATTTTTGCAAAAGCTGCTGACTGACTTGAACGAACGTACTAATACCTCACTTTCCTGTACCTAAAATGGGGAAAATAAAGTTATTCTTTCCAAAGTTGTTCCGACTATACTAATCAAAACTGTTGCAGAAGAGATACAAGGAGGCTCTACTTAACTCACCCCTATTTAGACAGACTAGGGAAGAATCAGCACATCAAATTCATATCTCTCTACTGTACATGCTTGTATCTGAATTGTTCATCTAGTTGAAATAGGTGCATGTCATCTCATAGTCATCTCAGTCAGTTTGGAAACTTGCATTTGAAGTCCCAGATTCTACCTATCTGAGTTCTGATTTTGCTACAGACTGTAAAAGGAGTCTTCAGGAATGATTCAGACATATAGACATCTAAATATACCAGTGATAAATCCCAGCCTTTTTTAATAAATGGAATTTCTACTCTCACCATGATTGCTTTAAAAATTCCCTGTGGTGTAATTTCACGACCATTTCTCTAGTGACAAAGCCAGATGAAGGTGTTCCTCTAGACCTGTTCCCAGTTCACTGCACCTTCAGCTGTACTGATGCAAGTGCTGTTTTATTGAAGGGGATCATAGAAATGATCTGAGTCAAAAGGGAATTGTTTTGGGAGGAAGGCAACAGTGAGAGTATTCTTTTTTTACTCAGACATTCATAGAAAATAGATGCTAACCAGCACTACACGGGAACCTCCCAGAGTCTTAGGAAGGTTTGTAAAAGAAAACTACTTATGAAGGAGAATAGAATTATAGTGTGACACAAGACAGTATTACTTCTGACATTAAACTTTTAAAAAGAAATTTGGACATAAGGGGGAAAACACAGCTCAGATTTTGTTCTGAGATAGAGGGAGCATTGGAGGCAATGTCATTTATTTTTATTTTTTATTTTAAAACATTTAGTATTATTAAATTCAAAAATGTAATCCTTTTTTCCTTCTTGCTATGTGATATGTAGCATCTTTGGCATCTAAAAATTACATTTATTGTGTGGGTGAAAAAACATTGCTGTTGGAGAGACTTTGGTTTTGGAAAGGAATGAGCCTTTTTGGTTTTGAAGGCTGTCAGCACAGCTTGCTCCATCATCAATGTGTTTTTCTCTTACACCCATTTCCTGCGAATTTTTTTTTTTTTTTCTGATTTTCGTATAACTGTCTTTTGGAGAATATCACTACTAAGGCACATGTACCAATTTCTTTTATGAGGTTGATTTTATTAAAAAGATTCAGGGGTAAATTGGTTAGCACTTTTTAATTGCTGATAAACTTTAAAATAACATCTCCCCCTACTGGAAGAGTTAGTCAGCTCTTGTTCTTGTACAGTTGCACGTTTATTTAAATTTTCCCCTCTTCTATCACCATTGGCTATCATAGGAACATGCAGTGGTTTAGGTTGGAAGGAACTGCTGGACACTGTCTAATTAAAACATGACAAGCCTCTAAGTTATATCCATAGTGATGTGCATACTAATTTAAAACAAGAACAAAAGTCATTCATATTCTTGTCAAAGTCATTAATTTCTGTTTCTGCTAACAGAAGCCAGAACTAATCATCAGTGAAATTTTAAGTTTTAAAATAATGAGAGCCTGATTTTAGACAATTAAAAGTTCATATTAAGGCACTTTGGTTATCAGAAGGTTTTTAATAGTGCCAAGTATTTTCCAAGACACAGTGTAGGAACATGCTACAATTTCAGAATACATGATCAGTTTTTAATTTAACACCATGTATATAAAATATTGCAAACATATTTTCAGGTGGTATTAATGAGAGTTAATCATTAGTAGTAGTAGCCAGTAGTTTGGCTACTACCGCCACTAGTAAGTGG